TAAAGTTACAGCACCGCATGCGTACATCTACATATTAACTATTAATTTGAGCAATTAATAACATTAAAACATATAAACGAACCAAACCATACCTTCAATTGCACTATATAATATTTGATGTGCTAATTTAAATAATTATATATCAATCCAAATATTCTTAATATATTACAACAAATTCATTCCGTGCATCGCACGGGCGCAAATACTAGTATAAAACCAAAAACAGAATTAAACTATAACAGGGCGTTTGGTTGGAGGGGAGGAATTATGTGGGAAAGGAATTGTAATTCCATGGGAGTTGAATTACTGGGAATAAAGTGGGAATTTAAATTCCAGTGTTTGGTTGACAGGAATAGAATTACTGGGAATTTCAATTCCAATGTTTGGTATACATGGGAATTGAAAGGGAATAAGTAGTATAAAGTCAAAAAAGTCCATTATTGTTGTTAGACATTAATTTTAGGTTAAAAAATGAAGGGATAATTTTGACTCATCACTATCTTTTTTTCCTATGAATTAAAATCCCAGGGGGACATGAGATTTTAATTCCATGAAAATGGAGGAATTCCCTCCAACCAAACTACGGAATTTAATGGTCTTTGGAATTAGGTGGAAATTAAGTGGGAAGGGAATTTAAAATCCCTCCAACCAAACGCACTGTAAAGATTTTAAAGCATGAAAAACTAACTGGGGTCTGTTTCAATATCAACATCCCCCGTTCCAGTATCTTTAAACCAACTCAAAGCTAGCTTCACGTATGCAAACAGCTTCAGCTTCTTTAATTCCATAATATCAAATAATGCACATCCCTTTCGCACCCAAAAAATTTCCATTATCATCACGAAGCACCCACCCTAAACCCATTACATTTTGTTGTTGATCAAGCGAGGCATCTGTATTAAGCTTAAGGCGAACACAATTAGGGGCAAACCACTTTTCCCTTTGTTGTTGGACAACATGAGGCGCATGCACAGTGTCATCATACAGTCTTCCAATTCTCATAAAAATTAAGAGCTTGTGTAACCACACTTTGTCGACCGAACAGTGCTCCTTGCCATATTTTTGCATTCTTGTTGCCCCAAATTCCCCATAAAATCATAACAAATTTATTTCTCAAGGTTGAGATCCTCCTTCATTAAAGATTCCAACCCGGATATTTGATATATAGGTCATTAATTACAGGCACACTCAATCTTTTAACTACTGAACTAGGCCTCGAGACAAGGTAGGTTCATTTTCAAAACACTGTTTCTATCTATACCCATAAGTTCAAACTTCGATCTCATACTTAAAGCAAACACCTCACAAATCTTCATTGCAAATTATATATGGCTTCCCACAACATGCTTTTAGATTCAATTCATGACATCGATCTTTGGCTAATTAAGAAAAGCTCATCGCTACATTTATTATTATTGTTACTATATATATATATATCATTCTTGTTTGTGATTATAACATGCGCGATATATACAACCTTATGAGGAACCTTTTTGAAGATGGAGACAAATAAATATTGTGATACAAATATTCAAAGGTTTTGCTGAGGAGCCAATCTGGATGGCCATGGCCACACTACTACAGGGCTACAGGCCTAACGTAATCTTAATTACAAGATTCTGGAGAAAACTAGTGCACTTAGCTTGTAAGCCACATGAAACGGAGATTTGCCAAACAATAATGAGAAGTCAATCAATACTTTTAAGAAATAATAATATTACTTGCACGGTGCACCAAAATATTTTTTTTTGAAAGTTACTGGCTCTATTACATTGTAGTATCTGTTCATATACTTTCTCAACCTACTGAAACACAAAAAACCAATAACGCCTCCACTGAATATAGAATGTTAGGAAAATATAATTGTAATATGCATTCGGACTGGTACCAAAGTCCCTTATATCAAGTATAACTCAAAACTGTCCGCACAGACTTAGCTTATTGGTTCAATATATAGACAGTATTTGAGAGAAAATACCAAGGTTTGAACCTCGACAATGGTAGTGTGGAGATTTTCCCTTATGCGCACCGACATTTGTCCTTGTCTCCTGAACTATTGAGTCCTTCAAAATTTCTTGAATATCATAGTAACATTTATTATAATTTTTTTAACAAAAAAATTAATGAGCCCTTTTTTTTTGAGTGAAGAATGAAGTTTGTCGTCATTATCCGAATGTGTGTATAGTACATTATACTAGGATACCCCATGAGATGAGCTCAACCGAAATAGTGTTAACAAAAATTAAACTTGTGATATTTTGTTATAAGAATCATGCTCTATCTACTCAATCACTACTCTTGATTTTATTTTATTTTTTGGGACGGCGTTGTTGTACGTGGAAGATAAAATGGCAATTGTTTAAAGTGCGGGCAGGTGCAATCTAAAGCTGTTACTTAAAAGAAACTATCCTTAATGACAATGACTTGTAGCAACCTTAGCTTGTCAAAAACATCGAACTTGGAAGTCCCATATTGTTTGGAACTTGGAACTTCTCCAATAAACTAAACACAAAAGGAATGAATAAGTGGAGGAAAATGACTAACAATAACCTGACTGCATAGCCAACCATAATATATAAGACCCCACACAATATACTTTTTTGATTGATGAAAAGGTCTATAATCAGTTAATCACTATTTCAAAATTTATACTTGATAAACCCTCATCCTATTTAAATAGCTCAGTTAATCACTATTTCAAAATTTATACTTGATAAACCCTCATCCTATTTAAATAGCTCATAAATCATATTTCACTTAGGTGTCAGCAAGGACGGATCCAAAGGAGGGGCAGCTGCCCCCACCCCATATATAACCTTTGTATGTATATATGTATATATAGTACAAGTTTTAGTATTAGTATAAAAAATAAATGAATATTAACAAGAAGTGAGTTATATTAGTTGGCAAAGCATGTGTTTGGGTATAATGAAGGTCATGGGTTTAAATCTTGTTATGAATATGTTTTCACAGTTTTTTTTTTTTGCTTCAACACAATCATCATATCCAACAATATTTATACCTATATTTCTTAGATATTTTTTTTTTCAAATTATTTCTTTTGTTTTAACGTTTCGCCTTCACTGGAAAAAATTTCTGGATTCATCCGTGCTTCTTCGCCCCCCTCAACGGAATTCCTAGCTCCGTCCCTGGGTGTCAGGCACTTTAAGCATGTACTATACTCGGATTAATCTCCATTCGCACCAGGATGGCCCCCATCAGGTTTTTTCATACGAGAGAGATTTCAAACTTCCGAACTTTCTTAAGATATGAGAGTGCACGATCACTCACGCCAATCAAGCTGGTTACATGTGCATTATATTTTTGCTATACCGTCATGAGTTATTAGCATGCAAAATTAACAAAACAAAAAAAGGTTAAAGAAATTGTCAAACTCGATCAAGTGATCACTTAGTTGACTTATATTAACGAATCCACCTGTTCAATCCTCCCACTTTATCTAATTGTGGAGTGTGTACTAGAATCTGACCTCCCAAATTAAAGTCAAATGTAATTCTCCTTCAACTCAAACTTGTTAAGGATGCATGCACCATATGTCCTTAAACTCTATATAAATGCATGTGTGCATGCACCCTTTCATTGCATCAACTTCACAACCCCTAAGCTTGGTTATATATACTTCCATAAATAATATATACATCTTCTCAAACAATTCAATCTAGCTCAAGTATGGTGGTGAATAAGGCAATTATTGGTGCTCATCAATATTTAGCTATTGTTGCTTTTCTCCATCTTTTCTTGAGCTCTATTATTGTGCTTAACACCACAGAAGCTAGGGCTGTTAGGCCATTGTTGAAGAATTTTGGAAGTAGTTATGGGTCGTTAACTCATCGTAATAATGAATGGAAGTACTCTTTTGTAAAGGTGGCACAATCATCTGGGCCTTCTCCACGCGGTCTTGGGCATGGTCAAGGTTACACTTTTGCTAAGGTGGCGCAATCGGGGCCTTCTCCACGTGGCTCGGGACATGATCAAGGTTACACTTTCACAAATGTGGCACAATATGGGCCTTCTCCACGTGGTCCTGGACATGACGATCAAAGTTACACTCTCATAAAGGCGGCATCATCTGGACCTTCTTATTCGCATAACACTAGACATGTTCAAGGTTACACTTTTATAGAAGTGGCGCAATCTGGACCTTCCCCACGAGGCGCCGGACATGATGGAAGTTACATCTCCTCAGAAGTTGCACAATCTAGACCTTCTTCGCACCATGTTGGACACAATGCAGAGTTCTTTCAGAAGCCTACATAAGTTGGACATTAATTTATATTATAATCACTAGCCTCTTTTAAAGATATCATACTAAATATGCAATATCAAATATTGAATCCATTTATGTGAATTAATATTTCAACTCAAACCCCTCATCCCCCACCCCCCCCCCCCCACCACATAAAATTGTACCCAGGAAAATAATACAAAAATAGCAAATACTATATATACAAAGTAAGTGATTATGTGTTATAGAGAAAAATATAATGTGGTTTCTAATATTGGTGTTAATTTAATATAATTGATGTTTGTATCGTATATATATTGGTTGTTGGTAGCCACAATTTGCCTCTACCTCTCCAATCTCTAGCTTCTACTTTGTACAAATGAGTTAATTCCACCGGAGGTCCTTTGTCTTTGGTGGCAATTCCAAATTTAGTCACAGACTATTGTTTTTTAGACACTTTTAGTCATTCTTATGATTTTTTCTATTTTTAGTAAGTGCATTTTTGTCTCTTCATATTTTTCTTTTGTTATATTTCCAGTTTCAACCAGTTTAATTGGTTTAAAACTTTAGGTAACCTCTGATTTTTAGTAATCATATTTTTCAACCAATTTTTAGTAAAGTCCTAAAATTAATTAAACTGGTTGAAACCGAAAAAAATAACAAAAGAAAAATATGAAGAGATAAAAATGTCCTTACTAAAAATATAAAAAATCATGAGAAGGATTAAAAGTGTCCACAAAACGATAGTCTTGGATGTAAAATGGCAAAAATGATAGTCTGAGATTAAATTTAGAATTGCCACCAAAGATAAGGGACCTCCGGTGGAATTATCTCTTGTACAAATCTAAATAAAGATCAATGTTTCTTCTTTTTGGTGAACCCAACCAATTCAAGCAATCCTTCCTAAGAATTTTTAAATCATTGACCCTAGTTTGGTAAATGGATGTTAGTTGTTTGGGTTATAGAGTATAACTAGTTTATAATATTAGCTGATTGTAGAAAGTATTTGGTAAATTAGTTGTTAGTTGATAGCTGTTTGGTATAATTTTTTTCTTAAAAAATTAATTGAAAAAGTTGCTTTGAGCAGCTTTTTTAATTTTAGGATTTTGGAGTTAAAAAAAAAAAAGCTGATTAACCAAATATTTATATTGATTTTTTTTAAGCAAGTCAAACAGCTAATAGTATTCAAATAAGTCAAAATTGACCGATAAGCTAACTATTTTACCTAACAGGGCCATTATAGGATAGACCATGATTCATATTGGAAGGTGGACCACTAACATGCATGTTCATTTTTAATATATTATGACCCTGCTTGGTAAATGGTTGTTGTTAGCTGATTGTGTTAATTAGAGGGTATAACTAGTTGATAACATTAGCTGATTGTAGGAAGGTGTTTGGTAAATTAGCTGCTAGTTAATAGTTGGTTGGTATAATTTCTTTTCTCAAAAAGCTAATTAAAAAAAGTTATTTTGAGCAGCTTTTTAAATTTTAGCATTTTGGAGTTACAAAAAACTAATTAATCAAACACTTATATTGATTTTTTTTAACTAAGTCAAACAATTAATAGTAATCAAATAAGCCAAAATTGACTAATAAACTAACTATTTTACAAAAACTGAGCATGTATATTTTTTGAATGCTCATTTTTAGTGTACACAACTTCATTTTAGTATACTACCAACAATGAACATATAATATAATTAAAATAAAACTTCAGTATATAAAAAATAAATTTTAGAGTAAATACCCAAAATGATCCCTCGACTATAGCTAAATTTACAAATTGGTCCACGACTTTCAATTTCAACCAATTAAGTCCTTAACTTTGTAATTTTGACACGATTTGGTCCTCCATCTATTTGACCATTTGTTGACCGTGATCGACGATCTCCAGAAGAACCTTCAGCTATCGTCGGAGCACGTGGAGGCCTCCAGGATGACGTTGCACTGGTTCGGAAACACGTCGTCTTCTTCGCTCTGGTACAAACTCAACTACATTGAATTCAAAGGGAGGATGAAGAAATACGACCGGATTTGGTAGATTGCTTTCGGTAGTGGATTCAAATGTAACAGTGCGGTCTGAAAATGCAACCAGAACCTTAAAAAACCGACGATAGACCATGAAATTACATATATATCCTAAAAAATCACAGTCAACAAACTGTCAAATAGACAAAGGACCATATTGTGTTAAAATTACAAAGTTAATGACTTAATTGGTTGAAATTGAAAGTCGAAGACTAATTTGTGAATTTAGCTATAGTCGATGAACCATTTTGGATATTTATTCTAAATTTTATCATTATTTCATCTTTCAATATGTACCATGATTCATAATATAATTTGCCAGAATGGTTGGTTTCATCCTCCGATCCTTTAGAAGATGTCAAGATGAGATGACTATTTTTTTCCTAAGTAAAATCCAGTAAAGTTTTATTCTACTTTTTGTCAAACCACAAGTTTTCTCAACTAATTAACTAAGACCACACACTGATACTAATCTAATGAAAACTTATTAAAGTGTGCGCACACACAAAAGTGTTACAACAAAATGAAGGTGTATGTGGGGGTACGCGGTGTGTGTGGGTGTATATAAATATATAATTGTGTTCGGATGCAAATCAGTCTTTTCATACGAATTTATGAAGAATGCACTGCAGTTATTACACGAATGCACATCAACTACTCTCAAACATGCATGAGGATGCGCAGATGCGTGCGGTGCATAAGTGCATTTGAGCAGTAATTACGATGCATTCATATAGTTACAGTGCATGTAGTAATTGTGGTGCGTTCATGTAATCGTTGCGGTGCATCCCTTCAATTCGCAGGTTCACATGAAAAGACCAGTTCGCACATGAATGTAACTAATATATATGTGTGTATATATATATATATATATATAGAGAGAGAGAGAGAAAATTTCAATTTTGGTCCACTGACTATTGGGGTTGTGTTAATTGCAACACTTGACTTTCAAAAATGATAATTTAGTACCTTGACTATGCCATTTCTATCAATTTTGGTCAAGCCGGTCAAATTGCCGGCCAAATCTCACCGGAAAAATTTAATAAGTCAATTTATGAGGGTATTTTAGTAATTTTACTCCTCTGTTTTCTTCTCCCATGATATTCCCAATTTCCGGCGATGACTTTTTCTTCGCCGATCAAGAAAACGCAGCCCAGTGCCGCTCAGACTTTGATTTCCCTTGAATTTATAAGGATTCAAAATTGTGGGTAAGAAGAGGAAACAATAGAGGAAACACTTGAAAGAAAAAACCAATTGATTAATATCTATTTTGACCCTATAACATCAAATCATTCATCCCATAAGCAAATTGGGCAATATTTCAAGCAACATTAATCCATTTCTTATCGTACAGAATCAAAGCATTTAGAATAAAGTTCAAAGGAATGGATAAAAAGCTTAAGATTCACCTCCATTTGGCGCATATACTCATAAATCTCAGAAACATAGGCGGCGCACATCTGTGGTGCTTCTTTTCTGGGCAAATATGTTTGAGATTTCGATGAAGAAGAAGAAGAAGATCTTAAACCTGCAACTTCTGCAGAAGAGAGTTCCGGTCCGCTCAAGCTCTGGGCGGCCACATGAACATGCATAGAAGAGATAGGGCAAGGTTGAAGCAGTCTCCCCCGTCTGATAATGGAGGAGATTTAGGTGTTCCAATCAGTAATAATCCCCGGCAGCCTTTCTTACTCAATACTACCCTTCTCAAGCTTCTACCTTTCTGAACAATCCCACTTCCGATCGTAGAAGGAATCTCGTCGGAAATGGAGGGAAGTTCATTAGAGAAGAAAGAACACGAGTAAAAAGACTAAAATACCCTCATTATTTGTCATATTAAAATTTTTCGGTGAGATTTGGCCGGTAATTTGATCGGCGTGACCAAAATTGATAAAAATTGTATAGTCAAAGTACTAAATTAACATTTTTGAAAGTCAAGTGTTGCAATTAAAACAACTCCAATAGTCAATGGACCAAAATTAAAATTTTCTCTCTCTCTCTCTCTATATATATATATATATACACACACACAAGAGAATGGAAAGACAAAATTGTGTATAATCATGCTTACAACATCAGAAAAAGAGTCATGCATAAACCCTTTGGCGACCTCTCAAAAATTTATAAACTTGAACGAGAATGTACATTGATGACATTCAATTTGCATAACAAAATGTTTCCCCAATATATGATAATAGAGTAAATTTCACTTTTGGTCTTATAACTATTGGGGTCTTGTTAATTGCAATTCACGACTTTTAAAATTGTCAAAAAATTCTTTTTATCAATTTTGAACACTCCGACCAATCGTAAATTGCAATTAACAAGATCCCATTGTCAATTAATAGTCATACGACCAAAAGTGAAGAAGAAGAAGATGGAGGGAGGAATAGGGAATAAGAAAAAGATGGAAAGAGCAAATTGTCCTGGTGATTAAACATAATTTGGCTAATTAATATTTTTCGGTGAGTTATGGTCGACGATTTGGCCGGATCGGAATTACTAAAATTGATAAAAATTGAATAATTAAGCCACTAAATTAACGCCAAGCACTTTGTGCTCATATGACACCTGAGTGGACTCCCATATAGAAGGTTAGTTGTGAGTTCGAGCTTCAGTGGAAGCACTGTGGTGTCACTGAGGCGTTATTAGCTCTTTGTGCTTCAGTAGGTTGAGAAAGTAATTATGAACAGATACTACATTGTAACAGAGTCAGTAACATTCAAAAAAAAAAAGTCATTATAAAATTGCAATTAATAAGACCCTAATAGTTATATGACCAAAAATGAATTTTTCTCTATGATGATATAGGCATGCATGTAAAACAAACACTGCAAGAAAATCAATCAAAAAGTATATATGACAACCAGTGCACGCAACTCTCCAAGGATCACTTCTTGTAGATGCATGCATGAGATGGAGACTTTATTTTAGTGAACATTTCCAATAAGAAGGATATGCTTTAATTTGGTCAGTAATACACATTACACAATGATCGAGCTTTACCTAATTAATTGCCTTATCTCAACATATATCGTATCACTCCTCTCCACCATCCCACACTCACAACTAATTACCCCTTATAAGATATTATTAGACTATTATAGACAAGAGACGTGCCGAGTAGACAAACAATACTTCAAAATTGTTTAGAACTAAAAAAAAAAAAAAAAAAAAAAAAAAAAAAAAAAAAAGAATCTTTGCCTCAATGTCTCGTTCGGCTAGCACTATATTAATGGTAGTTTAGCTAACGAGTTAATTCCATCAGAGATCTATTGTCTTTAATGATTGTTTCAAATTTACTCCTATATTATTATTTTTGCCATTTAATATTCCAGATTATTATATGGCATTTGGTTGAAGGGAATTTAAATTCCCTTCCTACTTAATTCCCACCTAATTTCAAAGGCCACAAAATTCCTTTGTTTAGTTGAAAGGAATTGCAATTCCATGAAAATGCAATTCCCTCATTTCATGGAATTTGTCCCCCCCTCCCCGGTATTTTAATTCTTGGGATTTTAGGAAGAAAAAAGATAGTGATGAGTCAAAATTATCCATTCCTTTTTTAACCTAAAATTAATGCCTAACAATAACAATGGACATTTTTGACTTTATACTACTTATTCCCTTTCAATTCCCATGTATACCAAACATTGAAATTGAAATTCCCAGTAATTCTATTCCTGTAAACCAAACACTGAAATTTAAATTCCCACTTTATTTCCAGTAATTTAACTCACATGGAATTGCAATTCCTTTCCCATGTAATTCCCCCTCTCCAACCAAACGCCCCGTTATTTTTTGGGCACTTTTAGTCTTTCTCATGACTTTTCTTATTTTTAGTAAGGGCATTTTTGTCTTTTCATATTTTTCTTTTGTTATTTTTTCGGTTTTAACCGGTTTAATTGGTTTAGAACGTTAGGTAATCTCTGATTTTTAGTAACAATATTTTTCAACTTATTTTTAGTAAAGTCATAAACCAATTAAACCGATTGAAACTACAAAAATAAGAAAAGAAAAATATGAACGGACAAACATACCCTTACTAAAAATAAAAAAAGTCATCAGTATGACTAAAATTGTCCAAAGACAATGAACATCTGATGGAATTAACTCTTTAGCTAACTCATCCTATGTTGGTACTATTTTAGAAGGTTGTGTGTCTCTGATCTTAGCTTTTAGGTGATTCACTAAGGGTGTGTTTGGAAACCTGGAAAATGAGTTCTTGAATTCATTTTCCAAGTTTCCAGTGTTTGGATGTGCCTGGAAAATCAAGTCAACGGAAATCATTTTCCGTTGACTTTGGAAAATAGGCTTGTTTTGGAGGAAAATGACATCCCCTTTTTTTTGGGGGAAGTCATTTTCCAACTTTTACACCAACATCACACCACCACCAACATCATCAACACCATACCACCACCACCTCACTACCATCACCACCACCAGCACCGCCACCATACCACCGCAACCACCGCCACCATACCACCGCAACCACCGCTGCCACCACCACCACCACCACTACCACCGTCGCCGCCTCCATACCACCGCAACCACCGTCGCCGCCACCACCATACCACCGTCGCCACCACCACACCACCGTCGCCGCCGCCACCACCATACCACCGCAACCACCGCCGTCGCACCACCACCATACCACCGCCGCCGCCACCACCACCATACCACCGCCGCCGCCACCACCACCATACCACCGCAACCACCACCACACCACCACCATCACACCACCGCCGCCGCCATCACCACGACTATACCACCGCAACCACCACCACCATACCACCGCAACCACCGCCACCATTGCCACCACCGTCATACCACCACCAGTTATTATTATTATTATTATTATTATTATTATTATTATTATTATTATTATTATTATTATTATTATTATTATATAACAAATAACACCACTACCACTACACCACCACCACCACCACCACCATAATATTTTTGATATACTATTCGTTATTTTTTTATTATTATATTTAAAATTATTATTATATTATTATATTATTATATTATTATATTATTATATATTATACATGTTGTAATATTCTAAATAAAATAATTAAAATGTTTAATTATACAATTCTACTCATTTTCTAGAAAATGAACCAAACACACAAAAACAGTTTTCCAGAATGCAACCAAACACCGGAAAGGAAAATGTTTTCCGGAAAATGACTCATTTTCCAGAAAACATTTTCCAGAAGTCATTTTCCTGCTTTCCAAACGGACCCTAAGGCAACTTTCTCTCAGTTTGAGCGTACGTACTAGTTAAGAATATTACCTTTAATTTGTGTATTCTTAAATTCATGCAATAAATTTTATGGGTGTTTTGCATTAAAAAAAATGGATAAACACATGATATATATATGATATATCCAATATGTTTCTCTCTTCAAAGGGGAAAAGGTAGGCGGTTAACGAACCGAACATAAACGAACGGAGGTTGTTCATGTTTGTTTGTTAAGATTTTTGGAGTGTTCGTTTGTTAAGAGTTTTGAAAATCCTGTTCGTATTCATTTGTTAAGCGTTCATTAGTGTTTATTAATGTTTGTGAATACGTTCACGAACATTTTCGTTAACATTAACGAACACGTTCATGAACATGTTTGTTAACAAGCATGTTCAAGAATATTTGCAAACATGTTCGTTCACGTTCATAAACACATTCGTGAATGCTTAATAACCAAACATATGAACATGTTTATTATCACAATTCGTTTGTGAACAAGAAATAATATATGTTCACGAAAAAAAATCAAACAAGTAACACAACTACAAAGATAATATAAACAAATATTAAACGAACACAAACGAGCTTGTTCGCGAACATTATTAAATGTACACAAACGAGGTTGTTCACGATCTCTTAGCAAACGAGCTTATGAATGTTTAGACTCTGTTCGTTTATGTTGAACTCTAAATTTTGTTTGTTAATGTTTATTTATCTTAATAAACGAACGATTATCGAACACAAACACGAGTAGTGTACCAAAAGTTCTGTTCTCTCTTATTTTCCAATTTCCCGTTTTCAAATGAAAAACTAAGATTGGGGTAAATAATTTTTTTGATTAGCTTTTAGATGTTTGACCGACTTTAATTTAGCAATTTAATTAGATTTAAAAAAAAAAAAAAAAACGTTACGTTGCTACCTGCCGTGTTTGTACATAGTGTTGTTTTTGTCCGAAAATACTAATTACCGCCCAAAATCAACTTACAAACTTGTAACCTCTCATCTAACAAATTTTTCATTGTCTTCTGGCTCTCATCTCAATCTCTCATCCCATCGCGATTTATCGAACCCTAGTCCAGTAGTCCCTAAAATCTGGCCAGCCGCGCAGCCCTCTCCGGCGAGAGAGGAGTCGCAGCCCGCCCCTCCGCCAGGCGCCAGCCCTCTCGTATTCTGGCCTCACTGGCTCACTGCCTCGCGCCGAGTCGCCGGTCGTCGCTCAGCGCCTCAGCCTCACGAATCACGCCCTCACCCATCTCAGATTCTCAAATTCTTGGTTCTTCCCTTCTTCCAAGTTCCAACTATCTAGGGTAAGTTACATACTAATTTTATAATTTCTATTTGATTATTTGTTGACTTTGAAGTCTTTGATAGTTTGATTTATATAAAGAAAATCACAGTGATATTTATTTTTAAAAATTTTGCAGTGTTTCTTCATACTCCAGAATCCAGATTCCATAAATCCAAGTCTCCAGGCTCCAAAATTTAACAATCTATTCAAGGTAATTCCTAATTTTCTATAATTCTATTTGTTCACTTTAAATTTTATATTAAAACAAATTCATATGAATTACTGCTTTTAAGTTTTAAGTGTGTTAGTGACTTACTGTGTTGTAAGTTTTAAGTTCTATTAAGTTTTGAGTGTGTTAGTGACTTACTGTGTTATATTAAGTTTTAAGTTTTAAGTTCTATTTGTCTCCAGGCTCCAAATAAACACTATGTTTTAAGTTTTAAGTTTTTAGTTTATTCACTGTTAGTTTATTCAGTTTATTAAGTACACACTAATGTAGTAATGTTAGTGTGCACCACAATCGCTTTCTCTTGTTAGTTTATCTTTTGGATGCAATTAAGCAGGTCTTGATTAACTCTGGTTGTTTGAATTTGGAAACATGTTGATGACTTGGGCATGGATTGTAGTTGATGTCTTGATGAACTCTATTGGGAATTTGGAAACTAAGAATTTGTTATCACTTTGGTTTTTTTTTTCCTTATTGAAATTTGAATGTGTTATTCAATTATGCAGATTGGCAGTGTTGTATTGCTAAATTCTATAACTTCTGGACTTAAACAACTTTATGCAGATTGGAACTTGGCAGATGTGAAAGCTTCTCGTTAATAATAATAATAATAATAATAATAATAATAATAATAATAATAGTAAAAAGAGTATAAGCAGCAGACAGTATTTAGGAGAAGAGACCAATGTTTGAACCTTAGGCAGCGGGAGTGTGGGGATTTTTGTCACGGAGCACCTGTAGATGACATAAGTTAAAGATTTGGGTTTAGCATTAATGTTACCTAGGTTTGGTTGATATCAGTGAGTTCTTGGAAGAATTGAGGGGGACCAGAGCTTGGTATTAAGTGGAGGATGGCTATAGGTTCAAATATGAGGAGGGCTGCTGGAAGCTATTAAGTGGACAACTCAACTCTGGGCTACATTAAGAAAACTCCTCCATAATGGTTTCATTGACTTGGAAGGGCAAGGTATTTAGCAAGATATTCCATAATTGATAATTATCCTCTAGTTGCAAATTGTAGTTTTCATTAAAACACATATCACATATGCTATGGTTAACCTATAGCTTCATCTCATCTTTAGATGCTACAAGAGAGTCCATAAAGGACCATAATTTAAGGAATGATTGTGTAATTATCTACTAAATTTCCCATTGCCTTGCTCTCCTGCCCCTATTTTCTCAAAGGGTCACCAGACAACATATTCGCTTGGCTCTAGTTGTATCCACTTGACCACTTCACCCTGTTCTTTTTTATGAATTGTTCTTTGTCTATGTCTACTGCACATCAATTCCTTGTGACAAGATGCCTCTTGTTTGAGTTAGATTTTATTCAGCAACGAAATATATTATTCTTAAATTCTTATAAAACCGTCAGCTGCATAGTGCCTTCTGGTTAAAACCCTTTTCCTTATTCTACCTGTATGAATATTCTTTCAGCAGGTCAGAACATGCTCTTTAGTTTTTAAGGCAAATGCTAAAGTGCTAACTGTGAATTTGGGACACCCTTGAATTGGGTGTTGGAAATGCAATCATTTGAACAGCTAATTAATATGGCTTTCATGGCTAAAATGCTAGATCACTGTAATTTTTGTGTATTGCATACCAACTTACCACGTGAATTTTGAATTGCCTAAAAGTTACTTGAAAATATTAGGTTGTGCAATTAATAAGTGGAAAAATAGTGTTTCCTTGTGCTCACTAGAAACTGATTGCTAACTTGATTATTTTCCTTTGTCTTTTTCCTAGACTATAAACAAAGAGGTCCAAGAATTTAGTTTTCAAGCAGCAGTGATGGTGGAATTATGGTGGTCTTTACTGGGGGCAGCTGTTCCAGCTGTACTGGCAGGTCAAGCTTTCAGGATGAAGAAGAGACGAGATGATGAGCAGAGGCTAAAGAGGGCCAGAGGACGCGAAAAGAACTCAGATGATATATTTGTGTGCGAGAGGGTTTGTACTTCGAAGAGGATGTTGAAGAAGGTTGGTGCATTTTCTAAAGACCCAATGCCCGATACCTGTGTCACTGTTTGTGGTGTTTCCGAGCTCGATGCTTGCGCTGACGCATGTGCACGGACGGTGTGTGTTAACCAGCATCAAGTGCCTAACTGGAATGACATTTGCCTGAAGAGGTGTCAAAGTGAGTGCCTTCGCCTCTCAACTTCTTCTTTGTCTTGATCCGCAACCATTTTTTCTTTTTCTGCTCCCGCATTTCTTCAAGAACTGTGTTGAAGACCTCTAATGAAGGATACCCAGCCATTGAAACTGTGGATCATGTATTTTTGATGTTATACTCCAAGTGCTTTTTCCCTCCTAGCTTTATTATAATAGCTTAGTGCATTCGCCATTTACAAATTACAATATGGCTTGAGGATGCATATCATTTATTTATTTATTTATTTATTTATTATTACATTAGTTATCCAAGCTTATGCCAGACTAATCCTACGCATCCTAAGCTCCCAGAGCCTTTGGAGGAGGTAAATGCAAAATGACGCGTCATTTTTCAGGTTCTCACCCCTTTTTATGCATTCAGTGCACACAAGGTCTTCATCTCCTCGGATTGATCAAAATTTGGGTTAAATCAACTGAACTAGCCCCGCAACCCTGCTGGATACATATCATTTTTATTATGTGGCTTGCGGATGCATATCATTTTTCCCTTTGGCATTCCAATGCCATATGCATTATGCCCAAAAATGCTTTATTAAAACTCTATATGATTATGTTTCTATGTTTCAAAAACATTTCTTCACACATTTGCAAAAACTCGATACATTTCTTCTCCTAACCGGGAGTTTCTGGTCTTGATCTTGAGATCGGCGGTTTCTTCATAGGCACCTAATCGATCTTCGTATAAAGCGACATCTTGTTATTGTACAACGCCTTCTTAGTGGCATCTGTGACGAGCCCGAAGGCGGCATCAGTGAACATGTACGTGTTCTTGTTCGGGTGGAGGAGGAGCGCCAGGTGGCGGTATTGCTTCTTGATATGCTCCGGCTCCGTCTCTTGGGCCAACAACGAGAAGTCTTTGTAGCCGGAGTAGTCCTTGTTCCTGAGTAGTTTTTCGGCGATTCCCATCAGCCGCTCTACTTCAGCTCGACTCGTGGTGGTAGTAGTTAGATGCAAGTTAAATTTTGATAAAAAGTTGAGGTTTTGTCATCCTCACTTCAAAGAGTCCGAATTTACATTTGATCAGACCTAAATAATAAACGATCCATTGATATTTGTATCATAAATTAAAATAGTCACTTCAAATACCTTTTTATTTTATTGTTTTTCAATAGAAATCATTTTCTTTTATTTATTTTACAATATATACATATATTAATTAAACATATAAAATTATTGGCAAGTCCTACTCTTGGTTGGAGAGGAACGTTAGAGTATCCACACCAATGTTTTTTTCATGATTTTTGCAGAATAAAAATCATCAAATGGGTTTTTAACTAATGTGGGAGATGATTTTTTGGTGAGCTTTTACTCCTGCAAATTGTGTTTTTTATGGACCTTACTGCTGAAAAAAATGGAGAAGGAAGCATTCTTGAGACGCGTGTCTGTAAAACTTTTGTGTCGAGCTGGGCGCGTGATTCATTCTCTTCCTTCCTACTTCTCTCTCCTACTTGAATCCGTAAAAACTAAAAAAAAATTTCAACTAATGTGGATGCTCTTAGTGGTCGTGCCACGTCACATTTTGGGAGTGCTTGGCCAGCAATGTTTGCAACCACCACCTCCGGCGTATCCTTGACTGCACATTTAGTCCTTTATAACTACAAAAAATTTATCTCAACAATACGAACCGGAAAACAAGAACTGAAATAAGAACCACAATTTGTATTGACCAATTTAAATACTTCAATGGTGGCAGATTCTTCTTTTACAGTACAACAACAGTGGAACTTTGGTAACATGTACGACTCTACAAGTGCACAATAATGCCGGCGCTAAAAAAATATGGCCTTACTGCATTATTGCGCACATTCAAATCACTCCTATCATTCTTTCAAATCGCTTGGGGAGCTTTGAACTCCGGCGTCATCCTTCTTATCTTTGCCGCCGGTGGTGGTCGTCGCGCTGTTCCCATTCCGGCAGGCGGCCAACTCCTTCGACTCTGCAGCAGCTGCGGGGGATGGGGATGGGGATGGAGTCATTTCTTCTTCAATCGGGAGCGTGCGCTTTGATCCTTCGAGTGCAACGCCAAGAAGTATGTTTTCCTCTAGCGTTGGCCTCGCCACTGCCTGAGATGGTGCCGGGGTGGTGGGTCTTTCACCGTCTTGTTTTGCCTGTGAAACAGCCGAAGGTGCATCTACCTCCCCAGGAACTACCTTGTCAACTTGCTGCCTCTCGTTTTTACTTTGAACCGAGCCAGTGTTTGGCATTTTGCCATCCAATTCCGAGGTTGCTACTCCTGGTTCGGTGTCAGTACTAGACCCTGAAGAGCCGCGAGTATCTATTCTGTTGCCATCGACAATTGGCGGGGAAGCATCAACCGCCTTGGAAGCCGTCGTCTGCACCTCAGATTTCCCGTCTTTTTCTTGGTTAGGTCTTGGAGGCGTAGCCGCTTTGGTCTTATCCTCACTGCTATTATTAATTTTATAAGACGGCTCAATCAGGAGGAACGGGTGGTTAGCACGGTTAACAGTCATAACAGAATCAGCAAGCGGCACTTCATCCACATCGGCCTCCTTGTATATCTTCTGCACTGTGCGGATAGGCGTGGCAAGGCGAGCACGATGATGACTGATAACTCTAAGAAGATCCAGCAATATGACTTCCTGTTCAAAGGTAATGAACGCCAAAAATAAATCTTACTAAATATTTGAACCAATGTTGAAAAAAACGCTAGGCGCCTGGGGACCGCCTAGGCGGGCGCTTGGGAGGCCGACTGCTAATCGGCGCCTAGGCGCGATTTTTGCAACACTGATTTGAACTCTATTACAATGTAGTATCTGTTCATACATACTTTCTCATTTGAGGAGCCACAACTATGCCGCTCGACCACAAGGTCTTTGGCGTGAACCTCACCGCACTTAAAAGTGCTATCATAGTTCGTTAGTCATCCATAATGCATACTACCACGCTCCGCCTTTTCTTTTATGGGCCTCCGCACTTTGGCCCAACCTCACAACCCTCGGCCCAAAATGCATCCCTCGCCCTCGGCCCATCAATAATACATTCCAAATGATAAAGATACGATCATTATCTAATTTTCCCATTATTATGCCCACCATGTAAGTGCATGAACTATCTATGATCATATAATCATGTTATAGTGAACAGCTCTCACCTTGACTCGAAGGTACTCTTCGAAATGTGAAGTCTTTACAAAGCAAGACACCATGATCTGTTATGAAAATGTGTTCAATGAAAGAATTAGGATCATTAACACCGGGATGCAATAATAATAAAATATCGAAAGTGCGGAAGGCAATAAACATTTTTCCGTATATTTACACACATTTTAGTGTGCCGGTGGCATCAATGGCCATCATCGGTTTCTCTTACATAATAGAAAACTAATCACTTTGTAAATAAAAGCACTTTTCGGCACATTAAAACAACTTACCAAAAGAGCCTGATTCTCTCGATCGATATTATCGAGGAAAACTCGTCTATGTAATTTTTGTTGTTCCACTTGAGGATTTTTGGCTAAAACTTTCCGCATGTCAGCAACAATATTCTGTTCACGAAAAAAGTTACCGTCGTCAGAAATTGGGAAACAATTTCTCAAACACACTGGCATGTTTGGTAGAGAGGAATTGCAATTCCATAATACATGAGAAGAAAGTTTGGAGTGTGAGGAACAAATTGCCCTCCCTACTAATCTTACATCTTTCCCTAGGAATTGCAATTAGATAGGCATTTTGGTTTTCATACTACTTATTCCACTTCAATTCCCATATATACCAAACACTATAATTGAAATTCCCAGTAATTCTATTATTGCCTACCAAACAATGGAATTTGAATTCCTACTTTATTCTCACCCTATTCTTTCCCCCCCCTAATTCCCTCCTTGCAACCAAACGGCAAATATATATGTATTCATGACTGCAATTTACTCCTTACATTGATCTTATTCACATCGAGGTGACTGATAGCAAGGTGAGTCTTGATACGCCAATGAGTCTTCTGGGTAAGATTCCTAACCACGTTTACCGTGAATTTATGATTTGGAATATGAATTGCTTCACGATCATCACCTCTTATGACCGTGGGCGACCACCAGCCGACATGCTATGACAACAGAAACATTGATCATTAATCAACTGATTCTTAAAAATAGCAAAAGTATCATGCAATCTTTCTAAATTAGGCTTCATACAAACAATAGGTACTATTACTGTTGCAAAAATCGGTCTAGGCGCGCTAGGCGCCCCTAGACCGTGACGATTTCCCCCTAGGTGCCTAACTCGGCCGACTAAGCAGCCGTCTAGCGCCTAACTCGACCAAGTTAACTCGTCCATTTCGGTCAAGTTAGCCGAGTTAACCCAGTCGGCTCGGCCTTGCTAATCTTTTTTCATTATATATATATATATATATATATATATATATATATATATATATATATATATATATATATAATATGACATATATACACCCACACACGTGCACCTTTTTTTTTTTTAGTTAGCCGCCTAGACCGTCTAGGCGCTACTCTACCGCCTGACTAGCGCCTAGAGCCTACTACAACCATGGGTACTAAGCAGCCCACCGTTGACTATAGATAGCTAGCAAGCCATATTTGACGGTGTTTCCCATCCCGGTATATGATTTATAGCAGATAAGTAAAAGCATACCTCGACTGAACCAGAGACTTCATAACCGCCTATCTTTGTTTGAATCCAATTATTCAGAACAAAAGGCCTTGTCGCATGGATCATTACGCTCGAAAGAAAATTTGTAAATATCTGGAAAAAAAAATTTAAGTATTGGAAATACAGTTACGGAAGAAATTACACATAAGAACGAGAAAGTAGATTATGGTATGAGAGATGAAGAAACGGCAGTAAGAGACAAATTCATTACCTCACGACCAGCAAGAGTGAGCAATACAGTACCAAGACCCCCAGCAGTTAGCCACTTTTGCGTGGAAAAACCAAGCAGCTCCATGAACAATGACACAGCCGCAATCCATACAGCTGTATACACAGCTTTTCCCGCAAATTCAAATCCCATCTACAAAAGCAAGAATAATGTTGGAGGGTGAAAATTCTTTCAACTATACCCGAAGGAAACAGAAAATAATACCAAAAATCCAGTAAAGAGGAGAAAAAATAATGTTGGAGGGTGACACGTACATTTCTTGCATCACTTGAGTCTTTTGTCTCTCCAAAAAATTTGTGTGTTTGCTGAATCAAGCTGCCAAAACAATGTTTAAACATCATGAAGCACTTTTCTAACTAATCACCCAGAAAATATAAGTTGTGGAAAAATCATTAGTCATCCAAAAATCACAACTAAAGAAGCCTGATAAGAAATTTCGGCGAATTTTCCATGACAAATTCGTGAAAAAAGGTACCTTGATAAACAATAGGCGAATGAGAGTACTGTAGATAATGACTGTATAAAAGTTAAAAGCCTTTGCTTGACAGCTTGTACTCGGACTGAAGGTAAAATTACTGGGTCCAGCGTTCTGCAGAATTTCCATATTAATTAGAACAGCTAGAAAAGTACACAAATTGAATCCATATAGCCTTCAAGTATACAGGAAAAGTTTTTAAAAATTTAAATTAAATTTTTAAAAATGCAATTATAACCTGCATATAAGTGTAGCTCCAGCCCATAGCAACAAAGGTTGAAGATAAGATGTCACAACATAATGTGTGTTACTGTTTTTCCAATTAGTATCACTCTTCTGCAAAAAAATTTCAGACAAAGAAAGATAGTTATAAACCAAACAATATAAACAGGCTATAGCAAGAAAGGCCATTGAGGGAAGCACGTACATGAAGGAAAAGAATCCAGCCAAAACGTATGAGTGGGCTGAGACCCCAAGCAGCAAATGCAATTACGCCAACAGCTGGAACCAACTTATGCACAAGCGGGCTTCCGTGCAGGGCATTAAATGAACTGTGAAATAACAATCAAAACAGCATGACTTCCTGATATTGACCATGTGAAGTATGAGAGAGTATATTTGTGACTTTTAAGTAGCACAAAGGAATCCTCTTAAGAATAAAATATGGGATAGGCTTTCACAAGAGGGAATCTTACATCAGATCAATGTTGAAAAAATCGCTAGGCGCCTGGGACCGCCTAGGCGCGATTTTTGCAACACTGCATCAGATGCTTTCATAAGTTCAAGATAGACAATGTAAGAGATACCTTGTCAATATCGAAGCGGCTGTTTTGAGAACAGAAACATCAAAGCCTCCAGTAGGCTTTAATATGGACTGGCAAAGGAAAATATTATGTCTACTATATACAGGACTGAGACATAAAGGCCGTACACAGTTCAGTAGGTGGACACTCCAAAAGTCCTGCCGCTGAAAATGCAAAACAAAGGAGTATGAATTTGGCACAACAAAACGCAGATATGTGAACACCAGAGTATATATATTATATAAAAATGAATATCAAAATAACTAACAAGAATAATTACAGTAAATGCTAGTTAAAGACAAAAGGCTGAACAAGAAAGAAAGTTTAGCAGTGCTCTTAGTCTCTTACCAAACAGTAGGCTGGAGAACTTCAAAATTTTTACCATCAAACAAACATATGCATTCTCAATTAAGATGAACAATCAAAAGATTTAAGTCCAAAGCTAATAATTTATAGAACTGTTTGAAGACAAGGCTTGTAAAAGACGGAAAAAAAGCCAAAATTAAAACAGTAACTAGATTTTCAAGCCAAAACTGAGAATTGTACCGAAAAATGAGATGAAAGAAACGAAGTAGATGAATGTATCTGGCTCTTATCAAACATGCCCTGAAAAGATAAATAACCAAATCTATTATCATGGCTACTGAATACTGAAGTACAAGTAATTCAGGCCATGGATTGGCAGAGCAGACCATGTACCTTAGATGGGCAATTGTAGCCATATTTCCCATGAATCCCCATTTCACGGGGCAACAGCAATGAGCTAGCAGCCGCCATTGTTGAAAACTAAGGAAGAAATTCCAGTAAAAAAACAATCTTTATGCACATAAGGGAGAGCACCTTATAGTCAAGACCTAGATTACCCAAAAATAGAAAAAGAGAAAAAAGGAAGCATAAATTAATGAACTTCACCAACAACTCAAGATTATTAAAATATAATAAAAAATAATAATAATAACAGACGCACAAAGTATTATGCAGTACTCGGATCCCTCACATCAAATTTGAAATTATCAATGCAGAAATCCGTTTTCTCCCAATCTCCAGACAACCTCAAAAACTCAAAGCCCTAACCCCCAAACAAAATTGAATCTTTACAAAACCCAAGCAAATTGGGCAAACTTTTCACCTAAAACACCTTGAAATGGAAAGATTTTTTCAGCGGAAACCGGAATAGTTTTATGTGGGGTTGGGAATAGGAAACCGGGGGTGGCCGCCGGAAGTGATCGGAAACTACGCTACAGTTGCGTCGTCAAGTGGATTACACCAACTGTTTTGGATAATTTCTCACAGGGTTAATTCTTACGTGTCACGATTGTATTCAGACAAGAGAATTATTAAAAACAAAACGTGGCGAATTGAGACTTGTGCTGCTCGCCAACCTATCTTTTACCCCAACCGAGTCGCTGCGAGCCAGGGGTTTCCAAACATCCTTTTAAAATCGAATTGTTGAATTTAAGTCGTTGAATTTTGGCACAAGAGTCAAATAGACTTATGTATTAACACTGATTGTTTATCATCGTGAATTAAAATATGATCTATCTAAGTTATTATATTTTTAATTATTTTTTATTTAGTATTTTAAATAAATTTCTAACAAGTAACACATCTAGCTTGCTGTTTTTGTCACTTTTTTTACAGAAAATTTCAATTTTTTTTTATGTATTTTTAGATTATGTTGATTTGTTCTACGAATTTTTCCAAAAATAGTGAATCTATTTTTCCCGTCGGCTGTGAAATAAGTATGTTATCGCTTTTATGGTTTTTGAACCCATTTATTGGCATTAGTATTGGTTTTGGATGGTGCGCTTATGAGGCTCTTCGGTACACACCTGAGATTGAGGAGTTTGGAAAAAAGTTGGTTAATTGATTAAGGGACAACGATGATCTGTATATTGCTCTTCATTTGAGTTATAATAACTAACACGATTTTTTATTTAATGTTTGAGGTGTAACTTAATTAAGCGATTTCTTTTAAGTGTAGATACGAAAAAGACATGCATGCACTGGCTGCAGCCACAGTATGACTGAAGTAGAAACTAAGGAACTTTGCGTTATTAGGTATAATGTGCAAAATTGGAAAGAGAAAGAGATAGACAGCGAAGAAATGAGACTGCCCTATGTCCCCGGGGGAAGCGGCCATGTTTCTGAAGGCGATGGGGTACCCCTCCACAACAAAAACATAAATTTTGCAGGGCAAGTTTATGATAACAACAGCATGGATGCATTCCGCTTAGAATACCTACGTGTTTTCACACTCAACACTCGCAACAGAGGAGGAGTTAGAATCTTTCAAGCCATATCAGAGATCAACATAATTTGAAAATACGTAAAAAAAAAAAATGAAAATTTCTGCCTAAAAAGTGACAAAAACATTAAGTTAGATGAAAAAAATAACATGTCAGCATTTTGTTTTTATTTTATTTTTTCATGTAAGCAAATTAGATGGGTTACTTGTTAGAAACTTGCTAAAAATGTTAGATGAAAAATAATTGGGAGTATAATAGCCTAGATGGACCATATTTTAATACATGGTGCTAGATGAACAATCAATGTTAGTACATGTGCCTAGTTGACCCTTCTGCCTTGAATTTTCAATTTGATTAATGATATGAGCCAAGTAGCTTGTAGCTCAATGATATTTATGTGGCTCTTCCAAATGAAATGTGTTCAAACTCCAATAGGGTATTGACTCTTTGTGCTTCAAACTTTAGTGGGAGACTGAGAGTATGACTATTTGTGCTTTAATAGATTGAGAAATTATGTATAAACATATAGTACATTGCAATGGAATTAATAGCACTAAAAAAAAAAGAATTTTCTATTATTAATTAATTTAGTTTGAAATATTAATTAATAAATTGGTTTATGAATACTTACACTTATTTATTGATAAATCTCTCACACACACACACACACATATATATAGGGAAGGGATCAGGTGCATTTGTGGCTTCTCGTGCGGTTGTGCGGTGGATTAATGTGCGTGAGGTTTATACTTAATGTGCGTGAGTGTTAATGTGCCTGAGATTTGTACTTAATATACGTAATGTTAATATGCGTGAGTTTTGTACTTAATGTGCCTGAGTATTATGCTTAATATGCGTGAGATTTGTGCTTAATGTGCGTGAGTAGTTCAGAATTACGAGTTTAGAAGGAAGCAGAACAGAAAACTCACGCACATTAACGCCCAAGCTTCTTGTTACTTCTTCCTTCAATTTGGTCATGGATTCTGGATTATCAGCTACCTTCAGTGCAGTTGAATGTTTATATAGATGACGCACGCACAGCAAAATTTGCACACCAGCTAAGTGTGAATTTCTGTTGTATTATTCCCATAATTCTTAACCACCATAGCCCGCCTCCGCATCATCATTATCAGGGAGGGGCAACGACTACTGGGGATGGGGAAGAAACTGACATCCATATTTTCTGCTGCATTTTACACATTCACGCATATTAAGTACAAATCTTAGGCACATTAAGCACAACATTCACGCACATTGAGTACAAATCTCACGCACATTAATCAACCGCACAACCGCACGGGAACCTTTCACTATATATATATATATATATATATATATATATATATATATATATATATATATATATATATATAGAGAGAGAGAGAGAGAAGCGCTCATATGTGGTCATGTCATTAGGTGTGGCGGTGTGGTCGTATCTGTGTCGTTGAATCAGTTTAATCTAACGACAGTGATAATTCTAAGGATTTTTGCGTGTTTTGGTAAATGAGGGTGTTATGGTAATTACAGTGGCCATTTATAGCGGGCGGGTTCCAGAATACACCAATAGTGTTGACAACATGCACCAATAGTGTAATAAAACACACCACAGTGAAACACACCAATGGTGTATTCCCGTGTTATGGTAATTACAGTGGCCATTTATAACGGCGGGTTTCAGAATACACCAACAGTGTAATAAAACACACAACAATGTGATTTTCCCTATTCTGGTGCTTTGTGACGAGTTTACCCTTGCGGTTCGCTTGGTAAGAGAATGTGCGCGAAAATACTGGAAGAATCTTGATTAATATGATTCATTGGATATATCTAATCTAATGGCTTATAATTGACCATATGACCACACCTAACAACATGACCACATGTGATCACCACTCTCTCTCTCTCTCTATCTCTCTCTCTCTCTCTCTCTCTCTATATATATATATATATATATATATATATATATATATATATATATATATATTAATTCATTGTTAATCAATATGCATGTAGGTATGTCCAATGACTTAAAATCTTTTTCATATTTGGAAAAAGTGTCTTGACCATCTCTAACTCAAAACAGTCAATTTTGCACTAAATTTTAATATAACACTATACATTTACATCCTTTTTGTTATAACCTACCATAACTGTGTGTTTCGCAAGCTCCGCAACCCGTCGCAAAATGACCTCCGGCGTGCAAGAGCTGTTATAAAAAATCTTCTTGTTCCTAGCCTTCCAGATCTCCCAACAAGTGTAGGCGAATGTGGTAGCCCATAGAACGTTGTTGATCACTTCGTCCGATCTGCAGTTCTGCTTGATCCATCCCCAAGCTGTCGCCAGACGCCCATAGTGAAAGGAGGTTGGATGATGAGTTTTCCTCCAACAAGCTTTAGCCAGATCGTAGTGGGCCAGAATATGCATGATGGATTCTTCCTCTTCTCCGCAAGCCATGTAGTGGTAATTCTTCATCAGCCCCCTCCTGAAATGCTCCACGTTCGCGAGATGTTTTTCCTTGACTGCCAGCCAGAGGAAGGGTGGATTAAATTAAACACAGATGGGCTGTCAAGAATGCCACGGGTCTAGCTAGTGTAGGCGGGTTGGCTTGGAATCACTGCGAGGACTGGCTCTTTGGGTTCACTACAAAAATTGGGTCATCAAGTAACTTTGCCGAAGAGCTGTTGGGTCTAAGGGAGGGTCTACAGTTGGTAAAGGACATGGGGCTTTCTAGGGTGATCTTTGAACTTGATTTGGAGGCAGTCATTTCGGTCATGAGAAGTCATGAGGAAATCCATGGGAACGCTCAGACGCTCATCAAGGACTGCAAACTTCTTGTCGACTGGTTTGAAAGGATAATCTTCCAACATACCTTGAGAGAGAGAAATAAATGCCCTGATCACCTCGCTAACGTTGGGTAAGTTGGGGATTGGGGCACTATCCTTTTGCACTCGCCTCCTACAAGCTTGAACCTGCTTCTTGTTGCGAATGCTTTTGGGGCTAGCTCGGTTAGAGCGTGGTAGTTTTTCTCCTATTTTTCTTCCGTCTTTGACGAGTCAAAATCACCAAAAAAAAAAAACAAAAAAAAAAAAACAAAAAACAAAAAACATTTACACCCTTATGGTGTAGAATTTGATGTCTTCTTCGAAGAAGGTTTGACCAAAACTTTTACACCAAAATGGTGTTTTGGTGCCTTCGTTGGAGATGGCCTTATGAATCTGAAAAAAAGTAAACGAATTAGCTAGAGACGCAAGTGCCACTTGCATTTCTCGTGACCGGCGCCAATGGAAGACACAGCAAGTGGCAATTGTGTTTCTAGTACAATACGAGAAACGCAATTGCCACTTGTGTTTGATCTTGGTATGACGCAAGTGGCACTTGCGCCTCTCGTATAATATATGAGACGCATTACGTATTTTTGAGAACAAAAAAAATGTTTAAAATTTTTTTCTAAAACTCATTTGGGATGACCATGTATACAGACCAGACACACAAATCCTACTTGCATCTCCTTGACCGGCGACAGAGATGTAAGTGAGACTTGTGTCTCTCAACACGGCAGGGCCCACTTGCGTCTCTCCTTGCCTTTTGAAATTATTAAAAAAAAAAAAAAAAAAAAAAAAAAAAAAAAAAAAAAAAACACGAAGTGTACATCGTGATGATAGAGAAGACGAGTAGAGTAATCGGTCCAGCAACACTTCCTAGTTGCATCTCTCAGTACGATAGGGAGAGACACAAGTCTTACTTGCGTCTCACTTGAACAGTTCGCCGTCAAAGAAACACGCAAGTGGGATTTGCGTGTCTCGTAGTGTATATGAAACACTGCGTGTCTGATGGGTATACATACGTAGAGTCATAGACTACAAGAAAAAAAAAATTAAAAATTATATTAGGCTACAAGAAAAAAAAAATTAAAAATTATATTTTCTAACAAGAAACGCATTTGGTAAATGAATTTTGCATTTTTTTGTCCAACTTTCAAAAGCTTCTATTTTTGTCAAATTTCTTTGTTGTTTGCCTATTTCTGTCATTAACCCTGAAAGTGGAAAGGAGCCTAGCACTATTCATATTGGAATTCTAATGTGAAAATTTTAACCAAAGATACCTCTTTAACCCATTCATTTCCAAGATTAATCCCACTCTCACAGTCTCACAACA